AAAGATATAAGCTCATCCCGATGTTACACTCATCAAGAACTTTCATTTGAGTACCCACATGCATTTTGATATATTTTTCATATATACATATATATAATATATATAAATATATGAAAAATTGATATGAGTACTCAAATGAAAGGTCTCGATGAGTGTAACATCGGGATGAGCTTATATCATTAAAAATGTCAATAGTTCACAAGATATAAGGTCGTTTCTTAATTATGTTCAATTGCACTGTACGTTCTTGACTGTTGACGTTTTTAAAGATATAAGCTCATCTCGATGTTACACTCATCAAGAGTTTTCATTTGAGTACCCACATGCATTTTGATATATTTTTCATATATACATATTAGAGTGGTCCAAAAAAAAAAAGTTTTTTGCCTATCATCTTAAAAGCTTCTCTAAGGCATGAAAAAAATTCCCTTCAAAGCGCAGCTTGATATCTCAATTCTTCATGAAGCTCAATGAATTTTTATTTTCCCATTTAAATAACACGTGAAAAAATTTCATTTACGTTTTCATCCGGTAAAACTACGAAAAAAAATTTTTTTGTATTTTTTGTCAATTATTCTTGTAGGGAATTTAATTCTCTACAAAAAAGTACTGAGATAGTTTTTTCGTAATCTTAACGAGTAAAAAGTTATTGAGCTTTAAATACTTGCATAAAAGAAAATTAAAACGAAGATAGTTTCAAATCATCTTTTCGAAAACTTTTTTGGTAACTGCATGTATTTATTTCAAAATTTATCAAACTAGACTGTCTCTAATATAATTAACACATGTCTTTTGGTGAAGTATTAACTAAGAATTATGAATAATTTCTCTCATTACAATTTGGATATTTTTTCCTATGAGTAGTGATTTTTTAAAGTTGAACTTGAATTTCATTACGGAATCTGAATCAAGAGCAAGCTATAGTACTTCCGAATGTATACTGAAGTTATTTTTTTTATTTAAGAACATGTAGGACAGGTAGAACAGGTGAATATTTAAATTTTGAACATGATGCTCGGACACTTTTTGACCGAATAAAAAATCATGAAACTTTGCAGGAGTACGTAAATAGAAGTCCTTCGTGAATTGATTCTTTTATTTTTGAATTTAATCATTAAAAAAAAATGATAAATAAACAGGTAGAGTTCGTGTGTAAAACTTCCTTATTGCCTAATAATTGCTAATAAACTTACAACCAATATAATCTTTAAGACTGATTTAATTTTTTGGTTTTTTCTTATTTTAGTTTATATGACTTATAAGACATAATTATTAAAATGCAGCTAGGTTAGGGTAAAAAACTAATTGTCAACAAAAAATTTAATTTACTATATATCTTCATGTAGGCCGCAAGAGAGTGCTAAAAGTAAATTAGCAGCAAGTAAAAGCAAGTAAAAGCAGCAAGCAGCAAGTAAAAGCAAATAAAACTAAAAAGCAGTGGTTAGAGTATTTACAAAGTCTGGTAATCTCCTTCAGTGCATTTTACATGTGGTTCAAATAAACAAACCGATATATTAAATTGTCATTAGTTTTTTATATATTTAAAAACGAAATAACGAATATACAGTAATGTTAGATGACGATTAATTTAAATAATATCATGATAAATTACAACGACAAAACAGACGCAATATCATGAAGATACTTCAATTTATTTGTAGATTTATAGTCAGCAACGATATTATGAACACAAACGCGGGTAATTGTGTTGCGCCCTTTTAACATGGTTTTTGTGTGTGTTTACTCAGTAATAGGCCATTACAAACGCGGGTAATCGTGTTGCACCCTTTTAACATGGTTTTTGTGTGTATTTATTCGACATTAGACCAACACAAATGCGGGTAATCGTGTTGCGCCTTTTTAACATGGTTTTTGTGTGTTTACTCAGTAATAGGCCATTACAAACGCGGGTAATCATGTCGCGGTTGAACTGTCGCGGTTGAAATGTCGTCGGTTGACTAGTCGCGGCACCAGACTGAATTACCGATATCAGACTGTATACCATGTTTTTAAGAAAAAAATATAAATTACATAATCAAATTGTTGAAAGTTTAATCACTATAGCAAACATGCATACTTATATATTTCTATAATTATCCGACTTCAATATGTTACTCATAAATACCAATAAGGATTATTGTATTACTGCCTACTCGTAAGTAGTCAGTCTTTCTTGAACCATTAAGTTGTTACTACGTATAATATTTTCTTCTTATTAATAAATTGTATTTGAAACTATTTGCTAAATATTTACACGTTTATTTATAACATTATTCCTATGAATAATCAACAAAAATACTTTGAAACAGAAAATGTGATACAACATGGATTCTAAATTCATATCTGATTGAATTTTCTTTTACTGTGAGTATTTAAAGCTTAATAACTTTTTACTCGTTAAGATTACGAAAAAACTACTTCAGTACTTTTTTGTAGAGAATTAAATTCCCTACAAGGATAATTGACGAAAAATACAAAAAAAAAATTTTTTTCGTAGTTTTACCGGATGAAAACGTAAATAAAAATTTTTTACGTGTTATTTAAATGGGAAAATAAAAATTCATTGAGCTTCATGAACAATTGAGATATCAAGCTGCGCTTAGGAGAGAATTTTTTTTATACCTTAGAAAAGTTTTTGAGACAGCAGCACTTGAAAAAAAAAATAAAAATGTTTTTTTTGGACCACTCTAATACATATATATAATATATATAAATATATGAAAAATTGATGTGGGTACTTAAATGAAAGGTCTTGATGAGTGTAACATCGAGATGAGCTTATATCTTTAAAAATGTCAATAGTTCACGAGATACAAGGTCATTTCTTATTACATATAACCCCTAATTGAATTATTCACAAACCTTTTGAATAAATGTAATGTGTCAATTTCAGTAGCTTACTAACGACCCATTAATTATTTAACTCTCACTTAATAAAATTATTTCCATTTTCAATTGCGTATCCCGCTGATTATTGACTAAATTGACAAGCAACCGAATGAATTATAGACATAATAATGCTATAAAATGTGCAACGCAGCTATAAACGTATAACACACAATACAAATAAATTTATTTACATATGTTATCCACTTATACTCTGCACTCAACAGATCGAACAATCAATTAGGACATTCAATCTCTGATCATTGATTTGCTAAAATTATGTATAATTTAATACAACTAAACACGCCACGCGTTAATTTATGTCTTAACGATCACAATTCAATATTCACGATTAAATTCAGCAATCATCAATTGATTCTACAAGAACAATCAATCATTATCGTCACGGGAAAAAATATTCGATGATTAAATAAAATAGAAGTGAAATTGTAACAGCACAAGTAATTGAATAAAATTCCCATCAAATGACAATAAATATTTAAGATTGAAGCCGAAGGTAAGACGGATGTTACTTTTAGATTTAAATATATTTCTTTGGCATGTTAAAATCTTATTACGTTGAGAAATAACATTTGCTGGGCGTAGCAATGTAGAATGGAGAATATAACGGAGGTATTGTATCGTATGTAAGCTACAGAGCGGAGTGCATTGATGTATAGAAGCTTTGAGCTTACTACATAAAACATGAACATCAACAACAATAACAATTTGTTGATGCAGTTTATACTTTGTCTCGGTCTTATCAAGATGAAAAAAAATATTATTTTAAAATTCGCTCAAAAAATTCTCTTTGATTTTTATGTAAGGTCAGACTAGACAAGGAGACCTTAACTATTTCTCAATAATAAAGCCCAAAAAAAGTAAGTCATTTTCCCTTTTCTCTCAGCTCTGCCACTCTCGGTGATGGTGAATGTCAAAAAAAAAAAAAGGTAGAAAAATTTACCTCCCGATTGTTATACGTTCTATCACCATTCCCATCACCGGTTCAGTCCCTTTTACTTACTTTTTCCACCTTCTTTTTCAGGTTATTACTTCTATGCTTTTTTATATTGGCTAAAAAAATAAAATACGGCGTTTGGACAACTACAAATCGGCTCGAGATTTCTTAGCTTTTGGTTTTATTTTACGCGACTTTTTTAATCAAAATCAAAATTTCATCGGCTTAACAGTCAAAAGGTGGCAAATCCAAAAGTGCACGCCTCATAATCTAATTTTCCATAGTAAAATTGATTAAAATAAAATACAATTACTTTTAAATCTTTCGCGCCATTGTCCTCCCAGAAAAGAAAGGTACTGCGCATGTAATATGTAAACGAACCTTATTTACATAGATATAGATATACAAAGGATTAGTGGATTTTTAGTTTATTGCTAATTATAAATAAACTACATTAAATTAGACCGTTATTAACTTGTAAATAATTAGCGAAATTTTTTTTTCTTTTTTTTATTATCATTACTTTAATTTAAAATAAAATTTTTCTACCAATTAAAAACCTTCCTTTTTATTTATAACAAAAATAAATAAATTGAATATAACAAAGCGTAAAATTATTGGCCATGGTCAATATAAATATTTATTGGCAAACGTTGATATAATTCATACGTTTTATCTCGAAAATAATTCTGATGCCAAGATAATGTTTGTTAAATTGACAAAAAAATATAAAATTACAAAACAAAACGTTAATACATAATATTACGTAGATTATAAAAATACATATTTATAACGTGTATATATATATATGATTACATATATCCAGTTTATAAATAATTATTTATCGCACAAGCTTAACGGGTTTGCGTCATTTCTATAAACTTACTTGAGGATATTTTATCGGTAATTTATAACCGAACAAAAAATAGTATCAGAGCTTAATAATTCAATAAAAAGATTAATTGGCTGATAAATTTTATTGTTTCAGTATAAATAAATAATTGATATTTTTTTAATATCATTGGAAAAATATCTAACGCTTGATAGCAGCTGCGAGTTTTATTTTTAAGCGAAGATATTTATGTATTTTTTAAGTACTTTGAAGCTGAAGAAAAAAATAAATATGTGTACTAATATTACGGACTTTTATTTATAGGCACGCAATAAAGAACAAGAAGCTGAAGTTTTGGAGTGGATCGAAGCTGTTCTTGGCGAAAAATTACCCAAGGGAGATTACGAGGACATTTTGAAGGACGGAGTTATTCTTTGCCAGTTGATAAACAAACTTGCACCTGGTTCTGTTAAGAAAATCCAAACCAAGGGTACTAATTTCCAATTGATGGAAAATGTCCAAAGGTACTTATTTATTTATTCATTTCTTTACATAAACACCCAACAGCAATAGCCAATAACAGGGTCAATAGAGAATAAATTTAACGTCTTTTTACAAAATCATATTACATGAAAAAGAAAACATCAAAACACACAGAAAAATAGGTTCACTTCAGCCAAGAAAATATTTTTCTTCCTAATTATTTTTTTGAGCGAAAAAAAATTTTTTTTTGACAAGAAATTTTACTTATTCCAACAAAAGTAATTCTCTTGCTTTAAGAAATACGTATCTTGATCCAAGAAAATTTATTTAAGTCAAGAAAATCTTGTTGTTTTAAGAAAATTCAGTCTCTTGCTCCGAAAAATTAAATATAAAGATAGAAGTAAATTTTCATTAATATTTTTATTGATTAACATGTCAAATCAGAAGATCAAATAATATTTCATCATTTTTTTTTCATTCAATATGTATAATTGCACGCTAAAATAATATAAAATGGGTATCAAATATTCAAGAGAAAAATTTTCTCAAGGTGAGAAAATTTTGTTACTCAGCTGAAATAGGTGGCGCTCCTTTCCTAAAGTATCTAAAAATCTTGATCAAATATAAAAATTTACTATATCAAGTATTTATGATAATTTGAATTGAGAAAAAATGACTCCCACCAAGAATAGAATTTAAGAAAAATTTTTACTTCGGCCAACACAACTTCGGTCTGTCTTCAGGCACCTGAAAATTTTTTTGAGCCAAGAATTTTGTTCTCCTCACTGAGAAAAAAAAATAGTTTTACTCAATTAACAATTTCTTGGTTCAAGAAACTCGCTGATGATCAAATATTCTATTATTATTGATTATTAAGTTCTGAAGAGAAGAACATCAATATTTATCTTTGGATAATAGATAAACAAAAGAATAGCATTATTTAAATTAAATAAAAATTATTTCAATTAATTTAACAATTTCTTGAGCTAAGAATATATATTCTTGAAAATTTTCAAGAACATAAATTCTTGTATCAAGAAAATTTTCTTAATAAAAGTATTTTTTTTTCTCAGTGCAGACAAGAAAATCTTGTTTTGAGAAAATTCAGCCTCTTGCTCCAAAAAATTTAGTTCTTAATAGAAGTTAATTTTCTTGTCGAGAGAAAATTTCTCTCTTGCTCCAAAAAATTAAATATAAAGATAGAAGTAAATTTTCATTAATATTTTTATTGATTAACATGTCAAATGGAAAGATCAAATAATATTTCATCATTTTTTTTCATTCAATATGTATAATTGCACGCTAAAATAATATAAAATGGGTATCAAATATTCAAGAGAAAAATTTTCTCAAGGTGAGAAAATTATTTTCTCAGCTAAAGTAGGTGGCGCTCCTTTCCTAAAGTATCTAAAAATCTTGATCAAATATAAAAATTTATTGTATCGAGTATTTATGATAATTTGAATTAAGAAAAAATTACTTCTACCAAGAATAGAATTTCAAGAAAAATTTTTACTTCGACCAACACAACTTCGCTCTTCCTTCAGGCACTCGAAAATTTTCTTGAGCCAAGAATTTTGTTCTCCAGTCAAGAAATTTTTCTTTCTGTGCAATAATATTTTAATGTACTTGCATTTTGAGAAAAGGAAAAAAAAAAAAAAAGATAATTTACCAAAAATTATTATTCTAGAAATTTAGCAATAATTTTATTAATTTATTAATTTTTCAAAGGTTTCAAGCAGCGATTAAAAATTATGGAGTTCCACAAGAAGAAATTTTCCAGACTGCAGATTTATTTGAGAGACGTAACATCCCTCAAGTAACTTTGTGTCTTTACTCTCTTGGAAGAATGGTAATTATTTTATTTTTAATTAGTTAGTTTATAAATAAATTAATTTTTTTATTAAAATATTATTTTTTTTTTTTATTAGACACAAAAACACCCTGAGTACAATGGGCCAAGATTAGGGCCAAAAATGGCCGAGAAAAATGAAAGAACATTCACAGAAGATCAACTGAGAGCCAGTGAAGGTCAATTGAACCTTCAAATGGGTTTCAACAAAGGTGCAAGTCAATCTGGTCACGGAGGATTCGGAAATACAAGACACATGTAATTGTTTAACATTCGCGTCGAATATTTTTATTTTGTTCAGTACAACATGTCAACACTGCATTCTATTACACAATAAATAAAACCAAACCCTTCAATACAAATAAATATGTATACTATTTTTTTAATACTTGGATAATTAATAAAAAGTTGGACGACAGAGTAAAAACAACTATTTTTAATGAGTTTTGTTATTTTTATATTTATAAAAATAGAATATCATTAGACGCGCTTGTCTTTCGGCGAGAGTTTACAATTACTGCAATACATCCTCGTTTGTCACTCGGCAAGTTACAGAAAAAGATTTTTATTTAAAAAAAAAGAAATTAATTATTTTTTTTATTAAATTGATTTTAAAAATAGGAATATAAATAATAATTTATCATCATTTTATTCACGAGTGCTTTGATGATGTTGATGATTTGGCATTGGTTAATTTAATAACGAAGAAAACTATTTCTGGATTCATTCGTGACGGTTTTTCGTCGACGATGCGATTACTCTGGATCAGGTCATGGCTTCGTTACAATTTCAACAAAAATATCAAGGCCATACTAAATTTAATAACCTCAATTTTATTATTATTTTTTATAATAATTATCTATATTATTAAGAGAATAAGAAAAATTTTGTGTCCAGGATAGTCATGTGATAAAATCGGTTTTTTTAGTGAAATTTAGTGTCATTGCAAAGGTCTTGTTTTGAATTTGTGCCTTTTCAAGGTTTCATATCATTCTCATCGATAGTCAATTTATTATGATTATTTAGGCTGCATTCGAAAATGCTCTATTTCTAGATTCATAATTAAGAAATGATCTTGTATCTTGTGAATTATTGACATTTTTAAAGATATAAACTCATCCTGATGTTACACTCATCAAGACCTTTCATTTGAGTACTCACATCAATTTTTCATATATTTATATATATTATATATATGTATATATGAAAAATATATCAAACATACATGTGGGTACTCAAATGAAAGCTCTTGATAAGTGTAACATCAGAATGAGCTTATACCTTTAAAAACGTCAATATTTAAGAAAGTATCGTCCAATTCAACATAATTAAGAAATTACCTTGTATCTAGTAATTTATTGACATTTTTAAAGATATAAGCTCATCCTGATGTTACACTCATCAACACCTTTCATTTGAGTACTCACATTAATTTTTCATATATTTATGTATATTTATATATATTATATATATGTATATATGAAAAATATATGAAAATGCATGTGCGTACTCAAATGAAAGCTCTTGATGAGTGTAACATCGGGATGAGTTTATATCTTTAAATACGTCAATTAAGAAAGTACAGTGCAATTTATCGTAATTAAGAAACGACCTTGTATCTTGTGAACTATTGATATTTTTAAAGATATAAGCTCATCCCGAAGTTACACTCATCGAGACCTTTCATTTGAGTACCTACATCAATTTTTCATATATTTATATACATATTATATACATGTATATATGAAAATATATGAAAATGCATGTGGGTACTCAAATGAAAGCTCTTGATGAGTGTAACATCGGGATGAGCTTATATCGTTAAAAATGTCAATATTTAAGAAAGTACAATGCACTTTAACAAAATTCATTGTTTAATGAAGCAAAATTTATAAGAGCGTATTTTTTTATTTTTGTTTAAAAAATGAAATTACAAAATTATTTTTTAAAATCTTTAATAGTGCAATTAATTAATAATATTAATTTGAACAATTAAAAATGATTATTATTAATTTTTTGCTTATGATATGTAATTATTTTTCATCTATAAATATTTATAAAATAGTAAGATGCGCACGCACTGTAATGTTTATTGTCAAACGCAGCTGATCGTAAATTTGACCGCGAGTTTAAAAGTACGTCAAAATAAAATCGCGTGATTAATTTTTGTTACTTAGATTTTTAAAAAATACTTACTTGCCACAAGGGACGTCCAGGCATTTTCAAAATAAAAAATTAAACTTTTCACACGAAAAATACAGGTGCAAAAATTCGATAAATTTATTTTTTAAAGGTTGAGATTATACTGAGAGCGCAAGCAGAGAAAAAGTGTGATGCCGCTGTGGTTCGTTGCGAGATATATATCCATTTCATGGATTACTCGGGTATTTGTGTTAATTTGCGTAGGCGCGTTTCTATATATGGATCACTTACTCATCCATTTTATAATAAACAAACATTGCATTTATATATATATATATATATATACATATTTTGAACATTCCATGGAATATTTTCGTACAAATTAATGATCAGGAAAATTTATTATTTATGTTAGAAATTAGATATTGTGATTGTGGAATAATAAAAATTTATTTTAAAGATTTTTACCTGTAGTAATAAAATTTAATATGACCTGTATGTATTTTTTCTATCGAAGAAAATAGATAAAAAATACAAAAAAAAAAAAAAATGAATGTGAAAATTTCATTTTTCTTTCAAACTCATTTTTTAACAAGTTTTAATTTATTTTTTCCAGATTTTCATATTAAATTTTTTTAATTTTTAAAACAGATTAAAAAAATCCACTTTTCAATTATTAAAAATTAAAAAATTGATTAAAATTTAAAATTTAATAATTAAAATTAAAAAATTGATTAAAACTTTAAATTCAATAATGAAAATTGCAAATTATTTATTTTTAATTATTTAATACCGGCTTAAATATTAATAAAATTAAAAAAATAGTATAGAAGGCTTAAGACCCGACTGGAGCATGATAAAATTTTCTAAATAAAAAAATCCAAGTCCGTAAATTAAGTTTTAAATTCAAAAGTGATGGAAGTCCTGAGGCGCGTGTCAAACGCACGCTCAGTGAATAATATTTACAAGGAGCGAGTGTCTGCGACTGAGGATGATCCAATGGGTTGCGTCGGCACGCGGCGCCGTGGTTCACACCTAACAGGAGTTTATGATGTTTCAGAAGCACTACTTACTTACATTAGTTTTATTATAAGTGAATGGATAATATAAACTCAGTGTATAGTACATAGTACGCATGCCGCGGTACCACCAATCCCTACCAGACTGATACCGCTTTCGATCTTTTAAACAAGTTCCAACGCTGCATGGGCACCAAATGAAACCGTAGCTCGAGTTCTCGTCGAGGCATAGGAAGAAAGTACAGTCGAGTCTCGTTATAAGTCCTATTTATTTTCTTTTTTTTTTTTAACCAGACTCGCGTTAGTATGAGAGAGACACTACCCGTGCAAAAAAAATTTTGCTTAGTTTAAATTAGGCTAAATTTATCATTAACATTTAAAATCCTTTTTTTATGAGTTTAATATAAATAAGCAATAATTTTTTTATTTAATCACGATTATGAGTCTAATTTTTTGTTAATTTAGAATAATTAAATAATATAACATTTCTTTTAAAATCTATTATTCTAAAATAATTTTACAAAGCTATGTAATAAATATGTAATGGATATTAATTAGTTTATAAAAAATTAATATGATTATGAATTGAAAATGAATTTATTAGAGTGATTGTAAGTTTCTGCATTATCATTTTTAAATGATAGTACGTTGTCACAAGTGAAGTTGATTTTGAAATCATTCTGAAATACATTTTTCAAAATTTTTTTGGCGTTCTCGTTTCTACATATGAACTTTTCTTAAATTTAGATTGATTTTAGAAATAAATTCATATTTGTGTCATAATATGAACTTCAACATGAAATTAAGATTTAAGTTCAGAATGAAGCAAAATTTTTTTTGCATGGGTAAGAGGGCTCATAACGCGACTCGACTGTACATTACTTTCTTATACAAGACTTAACATTTTTTTATTTTAATTTTATTACAGAAGAATTTTATGTTTTGGCATAATTTAGGAAAAATTTGGACAAACCCAATCTTTATACTCTTCTGATCTGCTTTTTATAATCAATTCTTGTTAAAATTGCAATATTGAATTAAGGTAAAGTACCCAGTACTTAAATTAAACACTTCTAAAAATGGGACCAGTAGTTGAACCGACTTTTAGAATTGTTGTAATACAAAATCTGTATATATATATTATGAGTAATATATGCGTATGTTATAATTATTCAATGATACAGTAATTGATTTTGGTAAGTTTTTTCAATTATAAATCAAAACAATTATGAAAATGAAGTTAGCCGACATTTAAAAATTTTTATAAATTTTTTATTAAAAAAATTTCAATTAAACAATTAAAAAAAAATTGTCACATGTAAAAAACTTGAAAAACTTTAAGTGCAATTTTTTAGAAACATCTTTTTGATTGTAATTTAATTAATAAAAAAAATCAAAAATTTTTACACGTCTTCTAACTTCAGTGTGATAAACAATTACATTTTTGTTAACTTTAAAGTTGACATGTCGAGAATAACTGACAGTAAAAAAAACGGTATATCATCATTTTAAGTGAAAAAAATTGTACCACCCAATGAAATAGTCTTTTCTAAATAATACATATTTTTTGCAAAGACATAAACTAGGATTTTTATATTAAATTTTAGCGTTCAAATATACCTCCCAATTTTCAAAGCGGCACCCAGAACTTGAACAAGCTGTGGGACCATATAATTTTAACAGCACTCTAACCTTTAATAGGTTTATAGACTATAGTGATCAGTATTGTGATTTGTATTAATTACTGCAAATTAAATAAGTTTTATAACTAAAAATTAGTATAGTTAAAAATTATTGAACGTTTTGAATTGAGTTTTTTTGATTTATTATTGAAAATTTACTTTGTCATTCATAAAAAATGTAATTAAAAAATCAAATACAAATGTTTCTCATTTTTAAATGAACATATTAAATATCCACAGTAATATTTTTAATATTATTCAATAATATACTATAAATCTTTGAATATTTCAATAAAACGTTAAAAATTTTTGGTGTGCCTATTGCCATATATTTTATTAGTTCAACTACTGCTCCCGAAGTGTTCAACTACTGCGGCTTGTCAGAATTGATTGTTCAACTACTACTCCTTCCATAGTCT